CCTGAGCTCCAGATCAGGTCCCACCCTCCCCAGCCAGGTTGAGGTATGAACTCAGGCTTGGAAACTAGTCCCAATTCTGGCTGTGCCTGAAACTGGCTGTCTGATGCTGGGCAAATGCCTGTGCCTCCCTGACCCTCAGTCCCTCGCCCGTTAAAATAAGGGCAATAATAATTAATGCCTACTTTATACGGATAATGTAAAGACTAATTTTATGGTGCAGGTAAATGACTTAGCACAGGGCCTGGCACACAGGCTATACTCAGTAAGTGCCAGCTGTGATTGCTGTTGCTGTGGCAGAGGGCAGGAAGGTTTGGAGGCCCCATGGTACCACCCCAGTGTTGCTCCCTGGGCGTGAGGCCTGAGGTTCCTCTGGCCAAGGCCTTTGGAGTGGGCTGATGGGCTCCCTGATTTCGTTCCAGTTTGAATTTTCCTTGGATGCACCTCTTATCATTCTGGTCTCAGTTTTCTTTCTTTTCTTCTTTGGTGTCTAAGCTGAGATCCTGTCACTGTCCTAACCTCTTGCTAGGGCTGGGGAGGATCAGAAGGATGATGGAGAAGGTAGTCACAGAAAGTAAAATTATGATACAGGGTAAATCTGGTTTTAGTATCTGACAAAATGGACATTAGCCACACTGTTGAGGGGCTAGCATCCACATAATGTGTGTTCTGTGATGGACAGTAGGGCCTGCTGACCCAAGTCCTTTACAGTGTTTAATTGGCACCTTCTTGTGAACTCTGAGCTTGTTGAGAGTGGTGTGTGCTCTCTCACAGGCCATCTGGATCCTGCTGCAGACTGTGTCTCCAACCAGCTGTGTGTTCCTGGGCGAGTCACGTCTCCACTACCAGCATTCTGTTCCTCATCTGTAAAATTAGAGAGCTGGACACGAATGATCTCAATGGCCTGCCTCTCCATGCCCTAATGTTCTGTGATTCCAATGTAGATAGATCTGGGCTTTATTGGCCAAGCGCGCTATGGCGATCTCTTGAGGAGAGGGATGTTTGGCGCAATTGCAGTTGTTAAAATAGAACAGGCTTCTGAATTGTGGCCAGAACATAATGAATCCCATTTCTGTGAAATGATGATGATGACGGAACCAGTCATGTAGTGGGGTTGTTGACGTGGCTGGCCCATTTGGCCCCATATCCTCTGCAGCAAATATAAATGTGAAACTCTGGCAAAGTAGTTTAATGTGGCGCCTGAGGAACTTCCGAGCAAAGCCAGGTGTGTGAGTCACTGAGTTGGTTTCACATTCTCCCGGCTGATGGGACTAAGGCTCGAGTTTATACTTGCCTTGGCTCAATGGGTGGGACTTTTTTCCAGATACTTGTCGAGGTTCTAGACTGTCGGAGTCAGGAGGGGTTTTTGGGACCACTTAGTCAAAGTCCCCACTTTATAGATGGGGACTCCAATGGTTGGAGAAGGAGAAGAGCTTGCTCAGGACTTGACACTGGTGAACAGAGATCATGAAGGCGTCTGCACCCTTCTTGACTTCTCTATGACTGGGGTTACCCTCACCTAGTGGCTCCCACCTGCCCCTGTAGGACTGGCAGCTTCCCTCTGCAGGTTTCCCTGTGAGCCTGGTTGGTTCCCTGCCTCGGAAGGTGTGTTGGGCAGTCTCTCCACCTTAGTCATCAGGGACTTTATCTGATGGGCTAAGGAGTTTGGCCTTTATTCCAAGGGTCAAGCGGGAACAATCAAAGGTGGATTGTGGATATAAGGCATTTATTGAGCCCTATATACTGGCAGCAGTCGTAGGAGGGGATGTGGGGGGAAGAGGAGGAAATACAAAAGGCTCTGCTCTTAAGCAATGCACATCTTCCTGAATTTCCCAGAAGATTGTGAGCAGGGGAGTGAACTGATGGGATGTGTTGCAGGATGAAATGAAGAGAAAGTACATGGAAGTAGGGGGAGGCTGTCCCCGCAGCCCAGCCAGAGATGGTGGGGCGTGAAGCAGGGGTGTGCAAAGGGAATGGAGGGGCTTTTGTTTTATAGATAGAGTCACAGGAATCAGTCACTGAGTGCACCTGGAGGTGGATGACAGTGAGGAGAAAGGGAGTTGATGATGATACCCAGTGCTTTGATCAGCCCACGACTGCTCATGACTGTCCAGGTGTCACAGGAGCAGGGAGGCTGCTGCCACGTGTCCTAGTGTCCTGCACAACCTTCATGAGGTGCTGGTGCCTATGGCTCTATCCTGGGTTCTCTCAGTCCAGTTTCTGTTCTCCCTTTGTGCTGCCACCTTTGGAGGGCTAGAGTGACTGGGAGAGGCCTTCATGCCAAGGAGCTGGAACATAGAGCTCATGGGAGATCGTCTCTGTGCATGTTTCATTACCACTTTTGACCTGGAAAATGCTTAGAGATGATCTCGTCTTTAGTGAGCAAGCAAAGACCAGAGAGGAGGGGACTTGCCCATGTTCCCATGGAGGGTTTGTGGCCGTGGCCCAGATCTTCCCACTCTCAAACCCGACCTTGCCCTCACTAGATCCTGTCTGGGGGCAAAGGAGCCTGGAGATACAAAAAGATAAAAGGTATGGCCCTTTCTCCTGAGGAGTTTAGAGTGTAACTGAAGGGAAAAGAAGAAATAGGAAGCCACTAGGATGCAGAATGACAGCCAGGTAGATAACGCATGAGAAGCAAGTTTCAGAACTGGGTGTTCAGAGCAGGCCCTTGAACCTGAGCCTTCCTAGAAGAGATGTTAGGCCCAGAAGGTGAGAAGAAAATGTGAAAGGAAGATCAAGACAGCAGAGGGACCTGCATGTGCAAAGGTGCTCAGGTAGAAACTGGGCATTCCTGGAGCCATCGGGCCACCTCCCAAGTATTCCATTGCTGGATCTTCTGGGAACGTGGGTCCTTTGTGGGTGCCTACAGCTCTGTGAATAGTGCAGGGTGATGGAGTCACCTAAAGGGGCTGGGAGGTGTTTTCCAGGCCCAGTTCCTCTCACCACAGGAGCATCCCCAGCGTCCTGGAAAGGGACAAATAGCAAGGCCTCTCTAAGCGGGACCTGTGTCCTGTAGCCTCACTCTGCGTTCCTCACCTGGCAGGCCCCCAGTTGGGCAGCAGGTCCCCAGCTGCAGGACCTGCTTTGGGGTTTGGGGAGTTACGTACTCGCCTTGTGAGGGTCCAGAGGTTTGTCACTGAGGACTGGTGGGGGTGTGGCCAGTGCAGAAGGCAGAAAGTGTGGTTCCTGCTGGATGGAGTCACCCAGCTCAACCGAGGAGCCCAGGGAAGGCCGGTACCTACAAGCCAGGTCCTGGCCCACCCGTTCCTCAGTTGAGCTGGCTCTCTAAGTTATCCCAGTGCCCCAGGGCACGATGAGAGCAGAGTCTTCCCAGACTAAGACTTTGGCCAAGACTTGCCATGGAAGAGCCTGACTCTGACCTTTCTCGTGGCACTCTGGTCACTAACGGGTTAAACCTTTCATTAAGCGTCAGCACCAGGCCCCATCCCTGGAAACCTAGAAGGGCGGCAGCCCAACCACCAACCCAAGGAAAGGGCACTCCCAGCTACAGAGAAGGGAGCTCAGAGGGGAAGAGGACCCGAGGGCCCGCCTGGCCCGGCCAGGACAGAAACCAAAGGGTTAACAGAAGCCGCAGGGCTGATAAAATGCCCCAAATTCCTGGTCCTGCCTTCAATGGGGAGGGCGTCTGGCAAATGTCAACGATAAAAAATACATTTTAATGGCACATGATGCAGCTGCTACCGTGGGGCGCAGCCAAATGAAGCAGGTTTGGAGCAGCAACTACTGTGAGCAGCCCCAGGGGCTCTGGCGGCCGTGCCTCCAGGGCGCTTTGCTAAGCTTTGTCCAGCTACGGCAACCCACCTCCCCCAGCCCATGGCATCCTCAAGGGCCCTTGGGATTGGGGGCCTCTTGCCTTCTATGGCATTATTTTAGGAACTGTGCCGTCTCCTACCTTGGCACCTTGAACACTTGAAGAGCTTCCCTGAGGGCTGGGAGTGGCCAGGTGGGAGTGGGCAGGTCTGAAGGCAGGATACATTTGGGTCTCGCCAGCACATCCTCAGCCAGCCTCTGTGAACACTGAGAAATGCATGAACAAGGCTAGGCACGGTGGCTCATGCCTGTAATCCCAGCACTTTCGGAGGCCGAGGTGGGCGGATACTTGAGGTCAGGAGTTCGAGACTAGCCTGGCCAACATGGTGAAACCCTGTCTCTACTACAAATATAAAAAATTAGCTGGGAATGGTGGAGCATGCCTGTAATTTCAGCTACTTGGGAGGCTGAGGTATGAGAATCGCTTGACCCCAGGAGGTGGAGGTTGCAGTGAGCCGAGATTGCGGTACTGCAGTCCAGCCTGGGCAACAAGAGTGAGATTCCGTTAGACAAAAAAAAAAGAAGAAAAAGAAGAAAAGAAAAGAAAGAACAAATGAGCAATGTAACAGAAAAAAGTTACAGTGGGACACTTTCCTCAGCTTCCTCCCTCTCCCTCATCCTGCAAAACCCAAGTATTTCTAGAAGAGGCAGGTCACGTGTAAGAAGGGTATTGAGAAGAGGTGAGGCTGGAGGGGGACCCCTGAGGGGAGGTTACGTGTTATGATCCCATTTACAAATGTGGAAACTGAGGCACAGAGAAGCCCAGTGACTTGTCTGAGATCAAACAGTGAGTCAGTGGCACCCTGGACTTTTGCTGACAGCTCAGAATTCCACCTGCTACACTGTGCTGAGTTCACAGTGGGCTTTTACACTGTTAAGGGCTTACTCAAGTTCTCCATTACCACAGTGAATCAATTGGTCACATCAGGGAGGGCCTGGGGCTGGGCGTTAGTGCTGGTGCAGAGAGGCTAAGTGGGGCCGGGGTGGAGAGAATTTGGGGCCCAGGGGCTTGGTTCTTCACTTGGGAGCTCCAGTCCTGGTCCGCAGGCCCTGGATCCTGTGCTTTGAGGAGAATGAGAAAAACCAGGCCAGGGCCAGATGAATAAGGTCAAGGGCCTAGGGTTTGCGGATGGGGCCCTGGAGCTCAGCATGAGATCCTTCTCTTCCAGATCATCCTCAACTCCATGCACAAGTACCAGCCGCGGCTCCACATCGTTAAGGCTGATGAGAACAACGCTTTCGGCTCCAAAAACACCGCTTTCTGCACCCACGTGTTCCCAGAGACCTCCTTCATCTCTGTGACCTCCTACCAGAATCACAAGGTACAGCCACTGACCCACAGACCCCGCTTAAAACCATCCCGCGTTCCTTCCACCACGCAGAGAGGCAGAGTATGAAGCCAGAGTCCCAGCAGGGCTTGGGCAGGCCTAGTGCAGGGCCCTCAGAAGCCTAGAGTCCCTCAGAACCGTGAGCAAATCAAATGATGAACAGAAAAGGACCCTAGACACGTCCATCTCCAGCGCAGAGGAATTACGGTCTCTGTGTTTTGCGGAATGGAGAAAATTGGCAACTGTAAAAACCAGGAGCTTGGAGCCTGCCTTGTGGTTTGAGCGTTGGACCCTTTCATTCAATCTTCTTTCTCTTGGTTCATCTCCTGGTGCCTTCAGAGAGAGGGGTAGGGAATGGGGAGAGGAGCCCTGGGGTGCTGTCAGCTGGGGTGTGGAAGCAGAGCCTGAGCAGAGGCACTTCCCAGGCTGTGGTCGGCCACCTCCCACCCTGGTTACTGCCCTGCCCAGCCCAGCCACCCCCACTGTGTCCCAGTCACGGACAGCCGTGCTCTGCCACCCATCTGCTTTCCACAGTATGCACACGGGGACTGGCCGGTGGGCAGGGGTCACTGGGGAAGGGCCGTGGCTGTAGTGGATTTTAGGCAGAAGAGTGACAGAGTGGGAATTGCATCTAGAACGGTCACTCAGAGCCTGATGTGGTAGTTGCACAGACTCAGGCGGCAGGCCTGGGATGCTCACTGGGAAGCTGTTACAGGTCCCCAGGAGAGACCCGTGGGGACAGAAGCCCGGCAGTGCAGAGGGCTGGGCAGCAGCAGAAAGAATCGGAGGGTGGAGAGCAAGGAGAAGGGATCAGAGCCAGGAACAAACCAGGTGGGAATGGCAAGGCCCACTTCCCCAGACCTGCCCTAGTTCTGACTTTGCCTGGGATTGGGGAGGAGGGAGGGCCAGAGGTCAGCCCAGTCTCGCCCTCCTCCCGGCGACCCTGTGTGTTTTCCCCCCACAGATCACCCAGCTGAAAATTGAGAACAACCCTTTTGCCAAGGGATTCCGGGGCAGTGATGACAGTGACCTGCGTGTGGCCCGGCTGCAGAGGTGGGGCCGCGCGGCCCGGGGGGTGGGGCGGGCAGATGGGATTCAGGCACGTGGCCTCTGTGACCCTCAGTGCGTCTTCACTCTCTTCCTGTCTCTCCTCCTGTCCTCTCCACCCCTTCAGCAAAGAATACCCTGTGATTTCCAAAAGCATCATGAGGCAGAGGCTAATCTCCCCCCAACTCTCAGCCACACCGGATGTGGGCCCCCTGCTCGGCACCCACCAGGCGCTCCAGCACTACCAGCACGAGAACGGTGCTCACTCGCAGCTCGCGGAGCCGCAGGACCTGCCCCTCAGCACCTTTCCTGCCCAGAGGGACTCAAGCCTCTTCTATCACTGCCTGAAAAGACGAGGTAGTGCTCTCCTGGTCTAGAAGCCCTAGGGGGTCAGAGAAGGGGTGAGGTTCTCCCCGACACCACTCTGCAGCCCCCCGACCCCCCAAAACACACACACGCATCTGGTGCTTGTGTGGCCTGGGAGAGTGGGCCTGAAGGGTTAGGGATCACAGCTGGGCGCAGGGCCATCTTTTCCAGTGCAGGGATGCTGGTTCTCGTCTTTAATGCTGCCTTTGGAACCCTCACAGACAGCTTGTAGCCCTGGCGTCCCCAGATGCCTTTCCAAGTGTTGCTTTGCAGTCACTGCTCTGAGAGCCTCATGGGGTGAGCTGGGCTCTGCCTGGAAGTGCAGGAAGAGGCTGACACTTCCCAGTCCAGAGGTTTTGGAATTGGAGCTGTTATTTGTCAAAGCAACCTCAATTCCAGAACAGGGAGGACTTGGTGTCTCACGTGCAGGGCCTTCCGTCCGATCATTCCTTCCAGGATCTGCAGTGGCTGCTTGAGAGTTGAGATGAGCTATTGTGGATGTAGATGGGAGCTGGGAAGACAAGCCACAGCACCCTCTGTGCCAGGTCTCTTCGTAAAGAGGAGGAACCCGGAGCTAGGCACCATCACGTCTGTGCTCTGTGCCAGGTTTTGATTCCTCCATGGATAGAATTGCGATGATTCATGTTACTCCACCAGAAGACCTCATGGGGCCGCTGAAATTCCCTTCAGAATGAGCCTGGGGACTTTTGCTTGCCATCCAGAATGTTCCCTCAGCCCTGCTCCTAGGCACTAGCCCGGCAGAGCTCCGAGATCCCCTGCATAAGTCTCATTAGAACTCAGTGACCTAGACCACGGGTCGTCAAACTGTGGCCTTCGGACCTAACCCAGCCTGCTACCTGTACAAAATAGTTTTTACATTTCAAAACAATTGAAAAAATTCAAAAGGAGAATAGTTCATGAAATGTGAGCATTATGTGAAATTAAAGTTTTAGTGTCCATAACGTTGTACTGGAACACAGCCATACTCATTTACTTACGGGTTGTCTATGGCTGCTTTCATGGGACAACAGCAGAGTTTCGTAGTTGCAACAGATACCCTGTGGCCCACAAAGCCTAAGATATTTACTATCTGGCCCTTTGCAGAAAAAGTTTGCCAACTCCTGACCTAGAGTGAGTAGGCCACCTGCCAGGATCAAGAGCTTAGCGCAGGGAGAAGAGAGGGATTTGGAGAGATGACAGAGAATCAGGCTGAGTGAGGGGCAAAGGAGAGAGCTGGGCCAGGGAGAGGAGCAGGTCTCCCTGGAAAGGGCAGATGCCACCAGCAGGGGCAGAGGAGAGAGGTGAGCACAGGCCTTCACACCCACTCAGCCCCTCTGCTTCCAGCCCTGTGTGTGCACACAGAGAGCTCCCAGAATGAATGCCTGGAGAAAACAAGAGGAGGGAGGCCAAGATGAGCCATGGGTGGGTGGGGTTTGTGGGTTTTTTTTTGTTTTTTCTTTTTTGAGATGGAGTCTCGCACTGTCTCCCAGGCTGGAGTGTAATGGTGCAATCTGGGCTCACTGCAACCTCTGCCTCCCGAATTCAAGCCATTCTTCTGCCTCAGCCTCCCCAGTAGCTGGGATTACAGGTGCATGCCACCACGCCCAGCTAAGTTTTGTATTTTTAGTAGAGATGGGGTTTCACCATGTTGGTCAGGCTGTCTTGAACTCCTGACCTCAAGTGATCCGCCCACCTTGGCCTCCCAGAGTGCTGGAATTACAGGTGTGAGCCACCACGCCCAGCCCAGATGAGTGTTCTTAAATTGGCTCAGTGGGCTGCTCCCCAAACCCTCAGGCCTGGGTCAGCCCTGGATCCCAGGGGAGGGCGCGCCACTCCAGATAGATAGTTAGACCCTGCTGGTGGAGGATGTCGAAAGGCACATACATGATTTGTGGCATCTGATGTCATCTTCCTCCAGGGTATCTGCTTAGCCTGAGAAGTATGTCACCTTTTTCACTTATTATCAGTTCTATTTCTTAATTTTGTAGACACTGTTATGTTGGAATCTGTGTAGTAAAAATCCGATGGCTCTTCTTTAAACACATGTGAGGTTAGTTCCACTTCTAAAAACAACAGAAACATGCCTGCAAGCGGCTTTGGCTCCCTGAGGTCTTCCTGGGAGCTGAGGATGGAGGCAGAAACCTCATGGCCTTAATTTTCTGGCTCCTTCAGACAGATGTGGCCTCTGGGCCTGGGCTGGCCTGGCAAGGGCCTCCCCTTTCCTTGGCCAGGGCAGGCCTAGCCTGAGAATGCCACTGCACACCAAGTCCTCTTTCTCAAGAGTCAGGCTGGCAAAGGATCAAAGCCAAGTGCTGCCTGGCTAAACCCGGCCCTCAGTGTCCGGTGATGTGGTGTCCCCCGTGGCCTCTGAGTAGGGTCCGTAATCTGACCACTTCTTGGCGGCTGCCACCCTATAAAAGCTGTGGCTGATTGAAATGGCTCTGGGAGTGCCATGGCAACATGGGGAGGGCGGGCGCGGAGGGAAAAGGACAGGCTGTCCCAGCATCCAGCAGGGCGCCCTGGGGCCTGGGCTGGTGGAAATGGTTCTTCCTGAGTGTTACTTTGTCTTTCAGCAGATGGTGCCCGACACCTGGACTTACCCTGCAAGCGATCCTATCTGGAAGCCCCCTCTTCGGTGGGGGAGGATCACTATTTCCGTTCTCCCCCTCCCTACGACCAGCAGATGCTGAGCCCCTCCTACTGCAGTGAGGTGACCCCCAGAGAAGCCTGTATGTACTCAGGTTCAGGGCCTGAGATTGCCGGGGTGTCTGGGGTGGATGACCTGCCCCCACCTCCGCTGAGCTGTAACATGTGGACTTCAGTGTCGCCGTACACCAGCTATAGCGTGCAGACGATGGAGACTGTGCCATACCAGCCCTTCCCCACCCACTTCACCGCCACCACCATGATGCCGCGGCTGCCCACCCTCTCCGCTCAGAGCTCCCAGCCACCAGGAAACGCCCACTTCAGCGTCTACAATCAGCTCTCCCAGTCTCAGGTCCGAGAGCGGGGGCCCAGCGCCTCATTTGCAAGAGAGCGCGGCCTTCCCCCAGGATGTGAGAGGAAGCCACCCTCACCACATCTAAATGCTGCCAATGAGTTTCTCTACTCTCAAACCTTCTCCTTGTCCCGAGAGTCTTCCTTACAGTACCATTCAGGAATGGGGACTGTGGAGAACTGGACTGATGGATGACTCTCACGTCTCCTCCACAGCCCCGGGACCGTGTTGCTCCAGTATTAACCTCTGTGGGTGGCCTGCACTACCAAGAAACACAGGAAGGTATTCCAGAGGGAGTGTGTGTGTGTGTGTGTGTGTGTGTGTCTGCACGCGAGCACGTATGTATTTGGAGAGCATCCATCTTCTGACATACAACTGAGGTCATAACAAGGAAAAAAAAACACCACATTTATCTAAGAAGTGATTTGGGCTGCAGGACCTGGGTCCATTGTTATCTGACATCTCTTGACATGCCCGTGGGTGGGATGGGAGTGGAGGGTTCTCATGAGTTATTGGAAGGGTTTTATAATTGTTGATTTACTCAGGGGCCAGGTGGGGGGGTCTGTCCCATGGGGAAAGATTCTCATTGCTGGGGTAGGAAGATTCTTGCTGCTGGGGTGTGACGGCTCTGTGCACACCTTAGAGTTCCTGGCCTTCTATTTGCAAGGGGAGCTGAGAATCTGGTTTTGGTAGCAGGAGGCCCATTCCTTGGGCTTCTGGAGAGTCTGTAAGACTGCCTGAGAGGTGGGCTCAGCTCAGCCACAACACGTACTTTGATAGTACAGCTGGCTGCTCAGTTAGTGGCCTAGACATTGATGACTGGAACTCTGAGGTCTGAGGGATGACATTCGGAAAGGGTCATGTGCTAAATGTCACCTGAGGGGTATTTTTAAAGGTTTTTTTTTTTTTTCCTTCAAGAGAAGGGAAAATGCAACCAGTAGCATCTCTGTCATCATTCAGGTTTTGTAGTAAAGTAGAGAGCCCTTCCCCCTAGGTCCCCAACATACAGTCTCTCACTCTGGTGTGCGGAGAGTCGGCCTCCCAGGCATCATCCCATCTGCATCCTATGACGGGCAATTAGGAAACACGCCTCAGCTGGCATCATCCCCAGGAAGCCACACTGCAGCTGATGTCTGGCATCTCCAGGGCCTGTTCCGCTCGCAGAAAATCTACGCTTCTGGAGCGAGAAAGCCCAACAGAAATAAAGATAGTTGAGAAAAATTCATTTCTTCCAGTAAACTCAGCCGGTGAGCTCAGAGGAGCAAAGAGAATTCTCCAGTGTGGCACTCACACAGTCCTCAGCCCTGCGTTTTAGCATTGAACACCACCAGGCCATCAATGTGGCTGGGGTGAACTCTCCATCAAACTTGGGAAATCACTAAACTTTGCATGCTGAATAGCTATTTATATATTATATAAATAAATAAATATATTTTATATATATATATCTCTCACAAATGCAGGCCACATGTCAAATTCAGCTTTGCTTTTTACAAATGAATGAACTTAATAAAAATAAACATTGGAGGAGGTATTTGGAAAGACATCTATTTAAATTTTTATTACATGTTTGATATTAAAAACTAAGAATGGTTTAGATAAAACATATAAATAAATATATATATATAAACACACACACACTACAGATAAAGCTTTTTTAGAAAACACATTAGCTAACAGGTGATATGGAACTTCAAGTGTTTTGTTATATAGCATGGACGTTTTATTTTGCATATCGGAACATAAAGCCATTTTACAACTGTGAAGTGTGTGGATGCTCTTTATTACTGACTTGTCATTTCTTGGTTCTGCAATGGCCTCTGCCTCTTTTTTGCTGGTATTTTTTTTTCTCAAGTGTCAGGTGAGGCCTTCAGTGCCTCTGAACATTTGTACCGTGGAGCCCCTGAGCTCAGAGTGAAGTCACTTAGGACCAACAGAGCAATTGTACCTTTGATCTCATGCTACTCCCTGGGTTATGAATCTGGATTCCAGGGTCCACAAAGACCCCAGAAGGGCAGGGCAGGCAGTAGAGCAAGAATCTGTCTCCTTTCAGCAGTGACCACATAAGCTGGCCATTTGAGGGAAGTGGTCTCATAAGTAGGGAATTCCTGGTGGGATTTATGCAGCTGCTTCAGAAAAGGAACTGAAGAGCAGGCTCGAGTCAGCGCCGGGGGCTTCCTGGAGCAGTCAGGGGCATGAGCTCATCACCACCGTCACCCCAGAGACGGTGAGTCAAGGCCTGGCAAAGTACCCATTCGCCCGCACCTTGGCCAGGTCTCTGAAGCTCGGCCACAAGATGGAGAGAGGAAAAAAGAGGTGAAATCCAGCCCAGGTTTACCCTAGATTCGAAGAGGCAGGCATAGGAAGGTGCTGCTGGCTCTCCCTCCTTAGGACCTTGCCACCTGCCGTGCCCCTCATGGCTCCTTCCCCAAAGCTGCTTACCTGCATCCACCATCTCCACTGCAGGCTGGTCTGGGAACCCAGGAAAAGAGAAGTCAAGGGATGTGTGCCCTTGAATCCTTGCCCTGTCAGGACTGAGATGAGATTTCCTGCTGGGTAAAGAGTCAACCTTGTCTCCTGTTTCACCAGAATCCTTTTGTGGCTCTAGGCTGCTCTCTGGCTGGACTTCCTCCTGCAGAAGAGGAAGCCAAGCTCCATCCTCCCTTGGCTGTTGGCGCACACCTTGGGCTTCTTGGTCATGGAGAAAGATGTTAACTGAGCTTGGCTCGGGACAGGGAAGGGGGGAATCTTCCTAACTCCCACCTGCTGTGCTCTTTTCTTTCTGGCTGAACACAGCACATCTGGGACACTCCACACCTTCTAGAGCCCAGGCAGAGGGCTGGGGGCAATGCGGATGTTCCCAGGTTCTCTCCAAACACATGGTTGGCCGAGTCTGACATGAAGAAAGCCACTTCTTAAAGGAGTATTTTGCCTCGAGGCAGCCCACGGCTTCCTGCCAGCTTGCTGGGAAGCGTGAGGTCCCTGGGCTTCCCCACCTGGGCATGGCCAGAGCCGGGCCTGCAGTGGGATTTGTGAAACTTTCCTGCCCCTCTGAATCAACAGCTCAATAAAAAGGGGGCACATGGGATATCCTGAAACAAAGGGCACCATTCAGGAGCGCCAACAGGTCATACATCATCGGCCAGAAACCTGCCACATGAAAAGGGTCTGCTTCTGCTGTGCCCTGCCTGGGAAGGGGACAAAAGCCAATTAACATTCAGCTGCGTGTCCATGGGAAGGCAGCCTTGGGGGCTGTGCTCTCCAGCCCAGGGCCAGGCCCCTGGGGGGAAGCTGGGGCAGGCCTCTCAGCAGCAACTCAGCCACCGACAGTTGGCCCTCAACCGCAGAAGAGCCTGGAATAACAAAAGGGAGAAGGGAAAGAGAAGCTGGGTCAGACTGACAAATTGTTAAAAAACCAAACCAACTTCCAGCCTTGGCTGGGCCTCAGGGGGTCAAGAGGCCTCGCCTCGCCCCACTAATGGAGCCTGCTGGAGGAGTAGCAGCCCAGCCTCGCAGTGTCTTATCTTACAACATAAAATTAAAACCCACTTAAAAGGCCGGAGGGCATGTTAACATTCCCCCTGCTGTCTAATTGAAGTAGTTCCCAGCGCAAAGGATTTCACTTGAAAGATGCCTCACTCCCAGCCTGAGTCTCCAGCTCAGCCGGCAGGGGAAACGGGTGGGGTGAGGGGAGCGACTGCTTGCTTGCCACCCCCACCCAGGCGGCAGGTGGCGACAGCAAAGGTTAGAACAGGCTGGGTTGTTTTGTATTTTTAAAAAAATTTACAAATTCATTAGCAGCTATGTCAGCAGAGGCCACACTCCTGACAAGAAGACCTGGTAATGATTCAAACGTGGTGAGCCCTGCAGTGAAACCTGACTGTTCCTGCAGCCAAGAGATTTCCATGCCGTCCCCCCGCAAGCCCTCTCTCCCCCCACCAAATCTATGACAGGTCTCCAAGGCATACGGAACCAATCAGGGACATCCTGTCAAGGTGATGAACTTGCACTGGCCATCCCAAGTAATGGGAACCAGTCAGCCTGAAGCCGGGCTGGACTGAAAGCCAAGGTGACAGCTATTAAGCAATTGTGCGCCGAACAAAATGGCAAAGGGGCCGGGTAATCAATTCAATTTCAATGGGCGACCCGAGCAACCACAGCGGCTGTCGCAGCTGATTAGGGAGCGCCGGGCTGGAGCTTTCAATGCGAGCCCATCACAGATCAGAAACAGGCCTGGGATGAAAAGGGAAAGAACCGTCTCCCGAGAAGCAGGCGATGAAGGACTCTGTTTTATGTGACTGTGTTCTTCCTCCTCTCCTTGAAGAAAGAGGAGAAAAAAAAGCAAGCAGTTTGGAGATTAGATAGTTTTCTTTTCAGCCATTTATCATTATGAAGGAAAGTAGACAGCACAGGGGCAGAAGAATCTCCAGTGGGATTTCTGCGAAGTCTCACTCGGAAGGGCCAGGTTTACATGATGCAGCTCAAACAGCCCTGCTTATCACCGCAGCCTGACGGGGTCTGCAGAGCATCGAGGGTTCCTCTTCTGTAACAAGGGTGAACAGGCCCCAGTGCCCCAAGGAGTGCAGAAATTCTCCTGCAGAAACCCCAAACCAGCACACTGCATCATTTATGAAAGTTAAAGCCTGAGTCAGAATAATGGGGAGAGGAGGAAAAATGGAAAAGGAAAAGATGAGGGGATTGTGCACGGTCCCTGCAGGGGAAGTCCCAGTGGTGGCCGCCCATTTCTCCCTGGCCCAGGTCGGGGCATCAGAGGTCCCTGCTGTGTCTGCTGGCCTGTCAGCACTGGTCCCAGTCTGATGACAGGCCCTGGCAGCCTGCTTGAGCATTCTAGGCTTGTGTTTAGTTGTTCTGTGCAAGGGTTTTAGGGTGCAGAGAAAGGGGCACCCACAGGCATAGAAGCCAAGAGAGAGAGGCCAGCCATGGGGATGTGGAGGGGATGGAAGATGCCTGAGAACAGATGGCAAGGGATGCAGAACCAGGAGGAAAAGGGCCATTTTGGAGTCAAGGGTGGATCCAAACCTCTGAGGCAGGAAGGCTCAGGGCTGGGACTGGGCGGATGGTGAGGGAGGAAGGCTGACCACCTCCTCTTTGGAAAACTAGAGCAATGGGTGCATATTCAGATAATTCTTAGAAGAATTGCAAATAGAGAATTAATCTCACTAGTCATCTAAAATGCAAATTGAAGTGATAACATGCCACTTTGATCTACCAGATTAGTAAACATTTAAGAAAAAGTGTTGGGAGCCTCTCTCAGTCATTGCTAGTGGGAGTACAGATTGATATGGTTTTTCTGGAAAGAGCAATTTGGTAGCATGGACAAAGACTCTAAAAGTGTTCATATCCTAAAGAAAATAACCAGAAATGTGGGCATAGTTTACTACTGTATGATATTCATTGTGGTTTTACTTTTCAATAGCCCCAAACTGGCTGAAAGTAAATTGGTAAATTATGAGATACTCACATTCTGGAATATGATGCTGTCATTGAAATCATGTTTACAAAGGGCCCTTAATGATATGAGACTTGATTTAAAACTAAGTGAAAAAAGAGGATCCTAATGTAGAGTACAATTTCAAGAACATTTGAAGTGAAAACAAAAAGATTGGTGTGTAGCCAAACTATAGATCATTAAATAGCAGGGAACAAGGGGATGAACTATCTCTGTATATACATGAAATACTATGTGAAAAAAAGTTCCTGACATGTGGTCTCCCATGTGTGCGCAATACAAAACAAAAAACCACTCTGGAGGTCCTAACATCGATTAAGCAGAAACGTCCAGGAGATGGGGTGCATTTATGTGTATATGATGTATGCGTGCACGGTGTATGTGTACGACGTGTATTTGTGTGTGTGTTAGGGACACAGACGCGATTTAGAAGAAACTGCTTATGATGATTCCCTCATATATCTCTGTTTTGTTTAACTTGTTACAATGGGCATGTATTACTTTTGCAATTAAAAGATTTAACTGAACTAAAAAAAAAAAAAATTGTGATTATAGAAGTACCCGAAGAAAAGAAAAAGAAGAAAGGCTGAAAGAAACTGTGCCCAGTGCTAACAGCAGTAACTTCAGGAAGTGGTGGATCTGCTGAATTGCTGCCTGGGTGGACGAAGGTTGACTTCTGGGCCTCCTCCCCGTGTTTGTTTTCCTCCCCTCCCTGGCTCTCCCCTTCAGACACCTTGATCCTGCCCAGTCCTGTAATGCTGCTGTTGTTCAGGCTGGGGCTTTAGCATTTTCCACTCCTCCCTAGGTCCTCTCCCTGGGTGATGACATCTGTTCGCACGGCTTCTCTCACCAACATATGCCCACGAAGCTCAACTCCAATCTCATTTTTCTCTCCTGATACTGTCTTCTGGACGTTTCTGCCAGAAAGAGATGTTAAGTCCTCCAATTCAGACTGGAACCCAGACTCTCCCTCCAGGTCTCCCTCATGTCCTCCATTTTGGTAATGGCACCACCACCAGCATCCAGTTGCTCAAGTCAGAAACCTGGGCTTCAGTGCCAACTCCCTCCTCTCCCTACCTGCCCACCCCAAATGCTCACCAAACTGCAGATTCTACCTCCAAAGATCCTCTACATCTCTACACATTTCCTCTCTTCCAGCAGGCCTGGTGGTGTTTGCTATAATGGCAAATCCCCGGGTCTGGGCTGGCCAAGATGTCAGCTGTGTGAGGCTATGGAGCTTGGGGCCGCTGTGAATGGTCCTCCTGGGCCCTAAGCTGTTCTTCATGGAGTGATGGT